GTCGGTCGGTCGAGCGGGGCACTTAAAACTTTTTAGCATGCAACCGCGAAACGTTGCAGCTGGCAAACTTTACTTCTTTTTTTCGCCCATTTTTGGGGCACCCCCAAAAAAAATGAACTAAGAGAATGTGGCTGGGATCGAGGGAAGGAGGAGGGGTTATTGGGTTTGTCCCTGGTCAGAACCAAAGTCTGTCAGCAATTAAAAAAGGAGAGTCCTTTTATCGCTCGACACCAGCAACAAAATGGGGAAAATTATAGAAAATATTAAAAGAATATTTTTAAATTAAACTGTAGGAGAATATTAGGTTTTAAAAATTGAAATAATAATTATAATTTAAATTATATCGTTAAACATAGTTTTTTTTTAATTTTACAGTTAGTTTTTTAATTCTTCATTTAAATTTTGTTGGGATAGAGGTCGATTTTAAAAAATATGATATTATTTTATGATTTGGAAAGTTCGAAAAACTTTGAAAATTACCTAACAAATTTTTTAAACGATTTTTAATCAGAATCTATTTAATAAATAGTATTTATGTATTTATTTTATATTTAATAATTTTATTAATTTTCTTTTTTTTTTTATTGTCAATTTCTTATTTAAAATATTGAGAAATACAATTTTTTTTTTGTATGAAAAATGAAACTTAAACAATTATATTATTTAACAAAAAAAATTCAATTTAAATTTAAAAATAATATTAAAGCCCCGCAGGCTTGTATCTGAAAGTCCTTTCGGCGTTAACTTGAACAATACTCTCCCAAAAAAAAGGGACACCCAAAAAACAAAAAAAGGATAATAATAATATGAAAGTTGAGAAGGGAAATCACCACCCACCCAGCCATCCGTCTGACTTTTGACCAACGGCACCATTTTCTGTTGACCAGTTTCGGGGCACCCTCAAAAATCGTGACAAAAAACGTGACCTAAACTTGAAAAAAAAAAAAAAAATTAGACGGGAGTGTAGAACTCCCAAAAAAAAAACAAAAAAAAAATAAGAGTGCGGTCCTGTGGTCTTTTGTGGCTGGTTTTGTGTCTGCTAACAAATTTCAATAAATTACAGTTACATTTGCCAAAGTCAGGCTCTGTGGTGTCCTTCATAGTGGGTGGCTGGGTTGGTTAGTTTCTATCTCTTTTACCCTTTTTGGTATATGTCCGTCTCTTTCTTTTGGTCTTTGTGTGTCTGGCAACTGGCGACTGCATAATTCAATTTGTGTCAAAGTTTTGCGAGTGCGTGGCATAGAGTTTTTAGACAAAACCCTCCCCCCAACCACCTCCCCTTATTACAGGTCCTGCACCTCCCTCTTATCCCCCCTCTAAAAAAGGAGGCAAACTAATGCGGCACATAATTCAAACCAAATGCCAGAGAGGAAAAACGCTACGGAAGCTGGTGCATGGCCCCTGGGGGGGGGGTTAAATGTTAGGAGCCCCCGTAATTCCAAAGGGCAAGGGGGTCACGTGGCGGAACAAAGATGCCCAGTTAGGGAAGGAAAGTGTAGGATTGCAGGCGGAAAGCGTGATTCTAATTGAGATTCCCGGAATTTCCCGCATTCACACACCACTCTGTGCAGCCAATTTAGAGAAGAGATTATATTTCTTTGAATTTAAAATGTTTGTTTTTTCAAAAATAATAATATCCAATACGTGGCCTTCCATTCATAAAAATATTGGAAAACATCTAAAACTGTGAACGGTTGATGCTGCAGCTCTCTCTCCTGCACGCTCTCTCTCTCGTTGATCAGTGCTTTTCAAACTTTTTTCCACGCTTGCAAGTTTTCTCAAAGTTTCAAAGTTTATTTAACAGTGTTTTGTGGTATTTTAATGTGTTTTTATCAAGATTTTGTTTAAAATTATAAAATATCTAATAAAAACATGGACATCATGGACAAAAAAAAACAAAGAAAGAACTTTTCCAAGAGAGCGAACCTGTTAACCGCAAGACGGCCGCTGCACTCTCTGCTGCGCACACAGCTCTCAACCTCACTCTCACACTAGCCGCCATCGCGATCAGTTCTACTTTTCATCCTTTGCCGTGACCCACGTTTTTCCAATTCAATTTTTGGCTTTAATTATGTTTTAAAAGTGTTTTAAATATAGTAAATGATTAAAAGTTAACTTAACTAAATGAAAACAAGTGTTAGTTGTTTGAAAAACATGGAAATATTAAGTGCCGCGAATCGAAAAGCATGGCGTGCTCATTGTGAGTGTGTGTGTGAGAGCGGCAGCTAAGAAATCATCCAAATCTTGAACTCGCAGTAAGTTTAGTTAGTAGTAGCTAGTAGTAGTGTCTAAAACTAGTAGGTTCGACTACAAGACACGTCATTTCAAGCCTGATGCTGGTGCATGTCATTACCAGCATTGTCAAATACAGTTACATCTTTTAAAAAGGAACGAAAAGCGGTGCAAAGCATGGCAGATAAAAAGAGCACTGGAGAGCGGCCCTCTCTCTTGCTTAAATTCCTGCTTTCCTACGCTTTTCGCGAAAAATTTGTTTTTCCACATTTTGGCTTCAAATATACGCATGTATGTAGATGTAGATGTATGTATGTAGATAATATTTAAGACCTTTTTTAATTATAATAATTATTATTTAACATTATTAGAAAAAATCTTAAAATATCTTCAAAAAAATACTTCCACTACCAGAGCCCAGATAGGTAACCTTTTAACTTGAATATCCTTTAAGGATATCCTGCGATCCTTGCGAACTCCTCCTCCTTTGGTATCTCGATGCATTGATCTGATTTTCAATTGTTGCCCGAAAAAGGCTTCTTTTTTTTCCTTTTTCTTTTTTCAACCGAAAATCGTGTGTCGGCTATAAATCAGGCTCAGACAGAGGAGGGGGAGGTGGAGGGTGGCGGAAAGGCGACTGATTACGTGGCTCAAAATCCGGACCGGGCCAAAAACGAAACTAACGATTTTACGCTACATTTGCTCCTCGAAGGCGAAGCAGGGGGGCGGTGGCTAAAGGAGGAAGGGTTCTCTTTCCTTTTAGGACATTGTCTGACCATGTCCTGCCTCTGGCCATATCCTTCTTTGTGTTGTTGTTGTTGTTCTTCTTCTTCTGGCCATATTACATAGTTGAGTGCATTTATTTATTTGCTTGTATGTCAACCTGTTTGTCTCCCTTTTTCTCTTTTTTTTTTTTTTGGCTTTGGTCATTTCAATTTGTCGAAGGGAAAGGACAGGACACAAGGACAAAAAAAAAAAAAAAAAAAGTTCCCAAGAAGCTGGCAAGAATGTGGCCAAGAAAAGGTAGCAAGAGTTGCCCTCGCCGGCCAAGTTCTTGATTAACTTATTATGCTCGTTTGATTGCTCGATTTAATTTGCCATTTCCTTTTCAAACTTTTTTTAAAAATTTTTTTTCTTTTTTTTTTTTTAATTCAATTTTCTTTTGATGAGCTTTTTCCGGGACTCGTGCTGCAGTTATTTGTCATTTATTGTTCGTCCTGGCCAGTTTTCATCATTTTCCATTTTCATTGTTTGCCTAAATTAATTTTTAAATTAATTTTTATACAAAAAGACATAGCTGTACATATATGTATATATTTTATTTGTCTATTGTTTGCTTATATTTTTTAGAAATAAATTGCCTTTGCCGTTCTTCTATTAAAATCGTTTATTGTTTTGTTTGATTTGATTTCAAAATTTCATTTTCATATTTTATAACCTTTTTTTTTTTGTTTCCCAATTGACAATTTTTTTTTTTTTTTCAATTTTTGGTTTGCTTATTGAGACTATATTTGTTTTTTTTTATCGATTACTTTGTGCCATATTAATATTAAATTTAAATCTATGTTAAAATTAGTTATTAAATTATTTTTGATTATGCTTACAGGTGCTCAAAATAAAAAAATTAAAAATTTTAACAAAAATGTTCTGAGAAATTGTTCAAATATCAAATTTTCAATTTTAAAAAATTAAAATTTTAATTTTAATATTATCAATTCAAATAAAATTTTAATTCAACTGAAATTCAAAAGTAATTTTTAAAACGTACCATAAATTTGAATGAAAAAAAAAAACTTAAAATTAAAATTACTTTCAAAAAAAGCATGAATTTGAACAAAAAACATAAATTTAAATTTACTTTTAAAAAAAAATACCACAAATTTGAAAAATAGATCACTGATCACTGATTAAAAAGGCTCTATTTTTTTAGAATTTGTTAGAAAAAATTGATTTAAACTCTAAATTTTATTTAAACTTAAATTTAAAAAAATCTAAGCTTTTATTGTTTTTTTTATCCTATTTTCCTTTTTTTATTTTATTTTTATCCTTTTTTCCTTTTTTTCTTTTTTTAAATCATTTTTTTTTTAATTTACCTGTTTTTATTGCCTTTTTTTTAGTCGGTAGGTAGGAAGGTGGCTGAAAATGCGTAAATCAAATGCTGATTAAGTGCGATTTTTCGCGCATAAATTAAATCAGAATTATGGGTCCGACGACAGGCCATAACGGACTAACGGCACTAGCACTGTCAACGCCCACGACCCGCCCTGCGGTTTGGGCCCGTTTCGAAATTGGTTTCAGCCAATTGGTCGTTGCCATGACGCCCAAAGGACCAAGAGTCCAGCCATGTCCTGCCGGCGAAAATCAGTTGGCAACAAAAGGCCATAAGCTGATTGATCTCATTTTCAGCCAAATGCGCAAAAATTCAAGCTGCACTTTGGTATTCACACTTTTTTTTCCCAATTTTATTTTGCATTTTATGGCCATAAGCCTTTAAATAGTCAAGCTTTCGTTTAAGTTGGTTTTTAAAATATGCTTTGCATTTAGATAGGTTTTAGGTTTAGGTTTTATTTTTAAGGCTTAAATTAAGTAAAGAAAAATAGTGGCTTAAATAAATTCTTTAAAGGTAACATGTAGTTTTAAAAAAAAGAATATTAAATGCTTATAGTACATACTTAAATTTGTGCTTTGAACCTTACACTTTTTTGGCTTTAAGATAGAAATTATTTTCTGTTAAATTTGAAAGTATAGTATATATTTTTTAATTTCAGTCTCAAATTAACGAGAAAAAAAACCAAGAAAGAGAAATTTTAATCTGGAAAGCTATTATTGGTAAGTTTAAACTTTAAAATACAATTTTTCGGAATATGTGTAAAAGATAAAATAAAAATTTAAATAACTCTTAGACATATTTAAAACTGAAATAAATATTCCAATAAATATAAAAATTTATTGAACTTCTTCAATAAATATTTTACAATTTTAAAGATTTATAGATCCTTAACAAATTTCTTTAAAAAAATAATGACTACAAATATTATTTAAAAAACTATTTAAAAAAATACTTATACGTATCATAAAAAATAAAAGAAAAAAAATAAAAATATTGGAGGATAATAAAAATAAAGAATTCAAATATAAAAGAATTATAAATTATAAGAATGTAGAAAAACTGATATATTTTATTAAAAAAATTTAAATTTAATTTAAAAAAAAAACTTTGAGGTTAGGTAAATTCTTAAGGTTTATATATTTTTTTTTAATTTAAATATTTTCAATCTCAACTTTAACTCTTTAACAATTTAACGTCTCAATTATTTATGAAAAGAATTTATTTAAAATTTTCTCCCGATACTCTATATTTTATTTTCCAAGAAGCTCGCTTTCTTTTTCAAAATTCTTCAATCCACCCTCGAGCAAATCTATTGCTTTCCAACATTAATTTATTTTTATTTTTTTTAATTTTGTGTTGGTTGTGATTTGGATTTTGTTTTACGTGATTTTCAAATTGGAGGCAGGAGGGGGTGGTGCAGCATGATGGCGGTAGTGGTGCTGCATGGTGGTGCAACGTGGCGTATACTTATCAAATTAACGAATTACCCGCTTCCACAGAGAATGGAGTGCTGCCGCCGCCCCTCGGGGCATATGCGGTTGCAATAAATGATAATCGTATGCCCATGGTAGGCTATATAGTCCCTGCCATCCTGTAAGCCGCTTTTTTAAGCCCCTCCCCCCTCTAGCACCCCCCCTCACAGGCAGGATCCTTGTCACTTCCTTTTTGATGGTCGCTGCGGCTGCGTTGACCAAAAGTCGTAAATTCCGTTGTTGCCATTTGCCGCAGAAAAACAGTAGCAAAGCGAGGGGGGGTAGGGGAGTCTAGGGGGGGGGAGGTGGGCAACAACAATGCAAACAATGCCACAAATGCACAAAATACCCCTACACCTCCCTGCTTCAACTCCTCCGCCTCCACCTCCTCCTATGGCCGTTCAACGTTCGACATAATTAAAAGCGCGCGCCGTTTACGCAATTAATGAACTCTCGCCAAATTAGGCTGCGGCAGCCAGCCAGACAGACAAAATGGCCAGGACATACACAGGACACACGGGACACGGGGGCCCAGGGCACAGGACTCAGGACACGGGGCCAACTAGGGAGATGCGCGAGCCAAAAGCCCAGTGCATGGTCTCTCAAGCACTGCGAGAAAATGTTGAAAGACGGTTTTCTTAATTTTTTTTTAATATTTTTTTTTTAATAGTTTAGACCTTGAAATATTAATTTTTGTTTCTAAAAATTTTAAACACTACACACATATATAATTAACTTTATAAAAAATTAATAGAAAAATATTTTAATTTCTTTCATGACTAAAAAAAGTAATGCATAGAATCCTTTAAATGTTTTTTTTTTTAATTTTTTTTTACTATCTCCTTGAAATAATTTTTTTAGTATTTTTAAATATATTAAAAGTTTAAAATAAAAAAAAGTTTTAAATATCTTCTAAATAAAAACCTCTAAAAAATTTTCAAAAAATGACAAAAAGAAAAAGTATAACAAACAATTGTCTTTATAAAAAAAATAATTTTTATCTAAAATCTAAAAAATGATTTTTTTTAAATTATGTCCTATTTTTATAAAAATAATTGTTAAATAAAAATGGCCAAAATAATTTTTTTTGTACTACTTTTTTTAAATCTTCATTTTTTTTTTTTTATTTCTACTTAAGTTGTTACTTTTTTTTTATAAAAACCACCTTACAAATTTCTCGCAGTGTTTAGGCCGCCGCACTCATACAGAGAGCCACTGGGGTCTTGCGGTTTTCGCGGTCGACGCGGGCGACGGCAATGGAGCTGCAAAAACCGCGCCGCTTTTTGCCGCATTGCAGGAGGCGAACCTTTGTTGCACAAAATGTGAGGGGGGTAGAGGGGTAGAGATGGGACGAAAGGGGAGTGGCAACCAAAGCGGAAGCCGCCGCATTAATGACCGTCCGTAAAATAAGGCGGGGCATTACCTTAGATCCTTGGAATTATTTATTTCTGCGTGTCTTTAAATTAAAAAGAAATAAATTTTTAAATTATAAATAAATATATACAATTATTTATTTATTTTTTAAAATTTTAATTATTTTAATCCATTTTCCCTCCAAACCAAGAATTAAAAACAAAATTCAATATTTTATCTACTATTTTCTTTTTATTTGTCTTTTGTTGTTTTTTTAGTTGACTTTAAATCCTTACATCTTTTTTTAATTTTTTTTTCTACCATTTAGAATGTTGATTAAAGAACACAAAAAATTAAACAAATAATGGCTCACTTCAATTCCATTTAATATTTCATCTTCTATCATATTTCATACTTACAATTAGGCGCAAAAAAAAAAATGTTTATTTTTTTATGACTATATATATATATATATCATTTGTTGATTTGTTTTTCTTTTCAATTTTCTGCTTCAAATGTACATCTGTTTTACATTATTTTAATGAAATGAAATAAAATAAAAAACAGTAATAATAATTAAAAACAAAAAGCAGGTTAAAGTTCAAAGAATGTCCGGGGTCAGAAAGGAACAAGAAACCAAAGAGGAAAAAAAAGATGGAAAATAATACAAAGGAAGAAAAGAAAAATTAAAAATCAATATGAAAATGCGTATAAAAAAATTTAAAATGCCCTGGTCTAAACAAGATACAAAAAAAACAATTGATTTATTTTTCTGTTTTTTTTTTTTTAAATTTCCTTTTTATCGGCGGGAGTTTGCGTCGCTGCCGCAGTCACGGTCGCTGTTGCAGCAGACGTCGCTGTTGGGGAAAGCTTTGCTGCCTGAGAGCCACTAGATAGATTCAAGTCACTGGCACTATTCTGTAATTAAATAATATATATTTATTATAAAAAATTAAATTAAAAAAAAAAATAAAAAATTGCTATTTTTTTTCTTTATTTAAAAAAAAATTAAATTTAAAAATTTTCTAGTTTCTTAAAAATCCTTTCTTTGCAACCTGTAAAGTTTTGAGCGAGCCATTTGAAAAATTTTAATCCTTTTTTTTTTATAAATCTACCTAATTTTACAAAGTTTTTCCTTAAAAAAAAGAAAAAGATTTTTTTTTTCACAGAACAAAATATATTAACATTTATTCATAATTTGAAAACACTAAAAATGCCCAAAAATGATTTCTTGAATTTTGTTGTCGGTGGTTCTCCGTCATTTAAAGCCTAATTGTTTTAAAATTCAATCTTGAAGGAAAATATAGCCTCTAGAACTTGAAGAAGAATGAGCGCCCCAGTTCCCGCTCTATTTTTTTTTTTTTGCACGCCGCTCTGCGTCCATGTTATGTCGTCGTTGCAGCTGCCACCTGAGGAGCACAGCAGGTGGGTCTGCCATGGGTTAATATTATTATTGTGACGCAGACAGGCAACAGGCATTCAGCACCACCACCAGAGGCTTCCGCATAATCACAGCACGTTCTTGTGCGTCACCTTTTGCTCTCTGCTGCAGCCGCTGCTGTTGCAACATCATTGCTGGGGGCGTGTGTGCGGGGGGCTTTCTTCATCCTTCACTCCTATTCTTCACTTCTATTTATTTAGTATTTAGTATATTATTTAAGTATTTTTGTTTTCTCTCTGTTCTTGGTTCTTAAAATATTACTCTCAGTTGTTACTTAATGCCATCCATTGGGTTCTTCATACTAATGACAGGAAATTATTTTAAAAATTGCATTTTAAAAGATTTTTTTCTTTTTTTTTTAATTTTTTAAATTTTTTAAAGACTATTTTTTTAAGGCTTTTTAAGCCAATTTTTTGTTTATTAAATTAACTTTAAATTCAAAATCTTTAAGAAGAAAAAATGAAGAAAATTTTTAATTTAAAAATTTTTAAAATTTAAATACTTAAAAATTGAAAAGTTTGTATTTTTTAAGAAAATAATTTTCTTTATCTTAATTTTAAAGATTTCATTAAAAGTAAAAATTATGAAGATTTTTCTTTAAACTAAAAACTTTTCAACTTAAATACTAAAAATTAAATTTAAAAAAATTAAATATTAAAATTAAATTAAAAAAATTAAAAATTAAAATTAAAAAATTAAATTAAAATTAAAAATAAAAATAAAATTTAAAAATTCAAACTACGGACAGTAACGAAAAAAAGGACAAACCCCCGCAACTCCCTCCACAACTCACCTTCATCTCCTTGCGCAGCTTCATGGACTTGCCCATGCTCTGGAGACGGTATCGCTCCTTGGATCGCTCCCGGATCTTCTCCGGCACGACCCAGAGTGTGGTGGCCATGTTGCCGACAAAGAGCAGCAGGAAGAGGCCGCTCATGACCGAGACGTGCCAGGGCGCGTCCGCCGGCGAGTAGGCCAGCTTGTAGAGCGTCCAGGCGTTATAGGCCTGGAAGCCATATCCGATGAAGAGGAAGGGTAGCAGGAAACTCAAACCGCGCCACATCCACGAGTGGAAGCCCTCGATAGTGATGTCCATGTTGTGTCGCTCCCCGAGAGCCTTCAGTCGATAGAGTAGACCCTTCTGGTAGCCGAACTGCAAGTACTGAACGATGCCTAGGGAGGGGATGGCAGTGAATGGGTTTGGGAATTGCAGTAGGGATTAGGATGTCTCTACTCACTGATGTATACATTAAAGTACATGAACTGCATCCGGAAGATCTGCCAGTGCTCGCCCTGAGGCCAAACCAAGAGGACTCCGGCAGCCACTGTCGAGATGAAGTGATGGGCCCGCCACCAGCCCTTGATCCGGGAGCCATTCACCTTCAGGATGGACTCGCGAATGGTCAGGGTGCAGTAGTACCAGACTAGCAGAAAAATGAAGGCCAGCTCCAGGGCTCTAAAAAAAAAAAAAAATTTAATAATAAATATTAGTCTTTTGGGAAATTAAAAAAAAAAAAATTGTAGGCTTGAAGATTCGAATAAAAAATTAAAAATATTAAAAAGAATTAGAAAAAAAAATATTAAAAGCTTAAGATTGAAGTCAAACTTTTTTTTTTTTAAAGAAAACAACGTTTCAAGTTCTTAAAAGTAAAGTAAAATAAATGAAATAGTTTTCTTTTAAAAATAAAATCCAATAAAATAAAATACAATTCCCAGAAGAAGAAGTTCAGCAAAGAAAAAAAAAGTACTCTTGAGGGGGTGTTGTGCTTCACTTACCTGTAGTTGAATATCAAATTGAAGAAGGCCATTATCAGTCCAATTACGTTGAGTATTAATTTAAACTTTTCATAGTCATCTTTATAGCGAACTTTGTCGTTTCTGTTGAGAATTGAGACATTCACATCGCCCAAGATTATCTGCAAAAAATAAAATAAAAAAAGAAGAAAGTGGGTGGCCATCAGTGGGGGGAGGAATCAACTTAAAGTCAAGTCGAGTCAAGTCCAGGACAGGTCAACTCTCAACTCGAGTAGAGTAGGAGTCCAGAGTCCATAGTCCATAGTCCAGTACTGGTTTGAGGTTTCAAAGTCCATAACAAGACGCGCAAATTGTCGCGTTTGGAGGATACAACTTTTTTACTTTACTCATTTTTTTCTTATTTTTTTTTTCGTTCTTACTTACGGGGAAAAGTTTTTTAACTAAAAGAGGAGAGGGAGAAGGGGGGCTTTCACCTGGACATTGTTGGTCTTACCTGCAAGTAGCGGCCGGATTTTGCTGGCAAGGATTGCTCGATTTCGTGAAGTTGCGCCTTCCGCTTCAAGGTCATTTTGTGGAGTTCATCGACCTTCTCACGGTCCTCCGATGGTACGGGGCCTTTGAATCTTAAAAAATAGAGGAAGAAGGGTTATTAATTTATTGAAAAAAAAAACTTTTTAACTTCTTTAAAAGTTAGAATATTTATTTAAAAAACCTAAGACAATTTTTTTTACAAATCAGTAAGGTTATCGATAAGAAAGATCATTATAAAGGGCACTTTTAGGCTTAAAATTAAAAAAAAAAAATAAAATAGAAGGGCTTATAATTTTCAAAAATTTCAAAAATTAGAGAACTTTTATTTATCTTGTTATTATTAAAAAATAATCAGCCAAAAAAATAGCCAAGACTTAGTGGAGTTATCTTTAAAATAAAATATATAGGACCATCTACAATACCAAAATGAATACCAAAAACGTATTAGAAAATATATATCCCAGAATTTATTATAGAAAATACCCAAAAAGGGTATTACTGGGCCTTAAAATCAAACAAAAAATTGGGAAAAAGGAGTTTTTTAATTAAAAACTTAAAAACTTCTATTAATCCTCTAATTAAAATAAAAAAAAAACAGCTAAAAGCTAAAACCAAGTAGTGTTATCTATAAGAAATATCCTCATAATACCATATTTATTACCAAATATACAACAACATATAAATCCCCACAAAGTAATCTAGAAATCCACACTCTTCCGACACCGGACACTCTAAGGGCAAAAGCAAGTCCATTCCGATTAGATTATTTAGATTAAACGGAAATATATAACGCTGTTTGGACCATTTTTTCGATAGTTTACCATAAATTAACATAAAATGGCATTTGCGAACCTTGGATCTACCTTGATCTACCTCTCTCCCCCTCACTTGGGTTTATTGTTTTATTGATTTTGACTGCCAATACTTGGATTCGATTATAATTATTTGTTTATTGACCGAAAAAAAAAAGAATAAAAATACTCGCATTAGAGTAGCAATTTTCCGCGTCAAAGTTCAATTTAGATGTACATAATTGATGGACGGAAAAGTGGGCGGAAAATTGGTAATTGGGGTTGGGTGGTGGTAGTGGTGGGGGTATGCGGTCAATTATCGGTTACCATAAACGTTGTGGGTTCCGCTCTCTATAGTTCTATATCTATATGACGCTTCAAAGGTAGATTTATTATTATTATTACTCTAGGCCTTGTGGTGCAATGTTCTTTTTTTTTTTTCTTTCCATAGTCCTCTCTTTATCAAATACGCTTGTATAATACAAGTTTTATTTTTAAAATTGCCTCTAATACCCGATAGATAGATAACGTTTTGGTGTTAAAGAATCGTACCATTTAGAGAGCGATATGATGGTGTTTTTTTCTTTTTTTCGATCAGCATTATAAACCGAACCGAAAAAGTGGTTCGATTATATTAGTTTCCGCTCCAGTTGCCCTGCTTAGTGGCATACATAATTCTATCTGGTCTGGTCTGGTCTGGGATGTTGTGGCTATTGACTTGACAATCTGTTTAAGATTAAAACCTACAAGATAATGGGAAATTTCCATCCAAAAATTTTCAAAAACATGGGAAAGGTTCAACATTTTAATATTATTTATTATTCAAAAAAACCAAATATTCCATTTAAATTATTTACTTTTTTTTTTGTTTAATATTTAACCGTATATTTTCTAGTTATAAGTTTTTGAGTTCTTTGAATTATTATTTTAAATCTTTAGTATTATTCTTCAATACCTTTAGTGTTTTGATTTAGTATCAAATTACTACAATTTAATACCAGACCTTAGAAAAAATATGAAATTCTAAAAAGACATTGTATTTTTAAAGGAATTTTAAAATTTTTTCAAAGACATTTTCTTGAAATTCCTGAAAATTTCCTACAAATTCCTGGACTTTTTTTTTTAATTTTTAAGTAGTATTTTTTTTAAGTAGCTTGATATTTCCTGAATTTTTTTTTTTTAATTCCTTGCTTATTTCCTATTTTTTAAAAAACCTTGATATTCGGACATTTGTTTAAAATTCCTTTATATTTCCTACAAATTCCTGTACATTTCAAATAAATTCAAAATTTCTTTCAATATCTTTAAAATTCCTGGTCATTCCTATGAGATTCCTTGGTATTCCTTTAGAATTCCTTGATCTTTACTTGTTATTTCCTTGACATTTATTGAAATTCATTATAATTAATTATGGAATAATTGCGCTTAAAAATTCAAAGAAACAAACCTAGAAATAAATACTGTCATAAAAATAAGCTTTCCAAGAAAAACCATTTTGAAAGGCGTTTTTTTAATGTCTTGCTCGTAAGTTTATTTTTATGACAGTATTTATGTTTTTTTTTTAAGTATTTAATATTTATTTGTGTACAACTTTTGACATAAAGTTTCAGACTTTAAGTATTTAACATACATTGTTTTAAGAACAAACATCATAATTCCTTGAAAAAATAAATAAAAGGCTGAAGAACCGAATACATTCAAATCAGCTTCGAAAGACCGAGACCCCTTTTTTTTTTAAAGAAAAACAAACAAATTAAAAGCTCCCTTGTAGAGCCCAGAGCCAAGACTGTAATTACAAAAACAATAATGTAGCGGAAAAAAACGTTACAAAATCGCGCTGAAAACGCGCTTACCCAACTCTATTTGATCATTAGCTTAATAAACAAAAAAAATCAGAAACAAATAAAGGGAAAAAATTAAGTGGTCAGTGGAGCTTCAAAAACGATAATGCTAATAATTTCTTTTTTAAAAGTTTAAATAAAAAATAAAAAAATAGTAAACCAAACTTCATAATTGCTCGCAAACATCATACAGACATAAATATGATCCATATACATGTACGTGTTGATTCCGGCAATCATTTTACATGTCTCAATTAAAAATCATTTAAATTTGCAAAAAAATTTAAAAAAAAAAACCGGTTTCTCTTCGATTTTGAGGCTCTCTAAGTCTAGGTCGGCGAGGGCAAAATGGTAATTATTTGATTTTTAAGCTATTACTCTTCGCATTGCATAATTTATGTGACTGGCGGATGAACTGAATGCGTTTACGAGGTCGCCTAAGTTCATCAAACACGCAAGTCAGATTCGAAAAAAAAAACAAGCGACAAAAAACGCGATAAGCCATTAAAAAAAAAGTTAAACAAACAAACGGAAAGGCGCCTAAATACAAGTGTCAAGAATGTGATGTTTCATCATCAACGCCCTCACACACGTACATTGTAAATTCAAATTATTTGTATAGCCCACATTGCCACAGGTGAGGTGAGGTGGTAGTAGCCCAGGCAGGTAGCCACAGGTAAGCGCGTTTAAAATCGCTTCAATGCAAGCGATTTTAGTCGCACTCGAAGCCAACGATAAAAAATAAACCAAAGTGCAAATAATGTTACAGTGGGTAGCAGGGGGAAAGTATTTGTTGAATAATTTTCGCACTTTTGTCAGTGGGTCGTTGAACTTGTTAAGGGCGGAGGAATGCATTTAATAAAATAAAATTTAAATAAAGAAATTATAAAGGATAAAATGCATTTTAAAGTGAAAGAAATAAAAACTAAGAAATTAAAAAAAAAATTTTAACAATTCCTTTTTTTCAAAGAATTCATTCATCAAATTTTTTTGCTTAAATAAGACCTTTTTAGTAACTAGAGCTGACTTAAAAAATATATAACTATTTTTTAGAATTTTTTTTGATTTTTTTGTTGAAGAGTGAAAGATATAAAAGCTCTAAATATTTAATTATTTGAGCTTAATATTTTGATTATTTTTTTTTTTCATTTTTCCCACTTTAAAATATATATCAATATAACCAAATTATTCATTATATTAATAATTATTATTTAGGATAGTAAGGATAAATTATATTTCTAAAGGAAAAAACGAGATTTTTCTGGTTTTTAAAATTTTTTTTTTAATTATAGTATCAAAAAAATATACTTTTTTTTTTTTTTTTTTTTTTTGTTTTGTAATTAAAAAATATATATATTTCTCAAAATCATAGCCCAGGTTATACAACAAATTTTAAAAGTTAGTTTTGCGCAAAATAAACCCTTTTGAAGATTTATATTTTTTCTCTAAAATTTCTTTTTTGTTCCACTGTGCACAAATGTATAATTGTGTGGCTGGGATTGCGTGTTCCGTGTGTGTTTGTTTTTGTGTAATTGTGAGTGTGTCTGTGTGTGTGTTATTACGGCTAAGGGTCAAGGGCAGCTGGTCAGCTGTCTAGTTTTTGGTTTAATTCTCAAAACCCCTACTTTCAATTTTATTTTATTTTATTTTTTTAATGTTTTCGCAACCGTATCGTTGAGCAGTTATTTTTTATGAGGCGGCAGCGACTAATAAAATACCGTAACCCATAGCCATAGCCATAGCTATAGCCCCCGGGGCACAAAGTCTAGGGGCACCTCTATAGCTTTCTAGCTTCTAGGTTTATCAGAAGTTTTATCATGGCCAAAGAAAAAAAAAACAGTTGTAAAAAACGGTGTTTCCAACCCAACCGTGTGTTGCTCCGATAAGAGTCACCCAACTGATTACCGGACGAAACTGACTAATTGCCTCAAGACTTGTGTATATATATTCCCCCGCCCCAGGCTAGGCCCTGATTCTGATAAGATGATCGGCTAGGGGCTAGGGGCTATGGGCTAGGGGGTGTGGGTTGGCTCAAGTGCCTGAAATGCGTGTGTTTGTCTGATTAGAGCGGCGCTCTAATTGATTGAAGTCAAATTCCAATCGGACAGGGCAGAAAATCCAAAAAGGGGGTGCTTTGTGGTGGTTTCGGTGCTTCGCTGGTTGGCTGGTTGGGAGAATGCCCGCCCAGTACAGTTGCGAATATGTTCAAAGTTCATAGAATGTATATCTAGGCATACCTAGGGTAATTCTTTTGGGTTGCGATTATAACTAGATTACATGGGAAGTCTATCTAGAAAGTTTCAAGTATATACTGTTAAAGAAATGGTACTTGTTTTAATTTGTTGTGAAATATTTTTGCATTATTTTGCGGAATTTAAAACATAAATATGATAAGATAAATAAATATGATATCTATCATATGAAATATGATGATATATATCATGATAAGAAATATAAACTACAAAATAAATCATTTCCAAGTTAAATATCGGGAATATTTCATAGTTATTACAGTAAAAACCCATAAAACCTTTAAAAGATATTAGATCTATAAAATATCGGTTACTTACTGTCTTAAAGATGCTGTAATCTGGTTCATGCGGTAACGCTGGTGCTTGATCTCATTGAAGCACATTTGTTGGTGGCTGTGCAGCTGTTCCAGCAGCTCAATATAACGACTGTTGCAGCTCTACAATTAAAAAAAATAAAATAAGTAAAATGAGAATACAATTTTAAAGGAATCTAGAGGGGTGGAAAGCTAAGAAAAGTATGATGATGGGTATGATGTATAAATGATCGTTTTTGGGAAATATTTCTTTATATAATACTGTATGGTATATAAAGAAAAAAATACTATATATCTTTATAATATTGTATTATAAAGAAAAAAAAAGCTCTAAAGGGAGTGGTTTTACTTTTTAATATATAATACAAGAATTTAGAAAGTTTCATTGAAATTTAATGAGAATTAAAAATTATATTTTAATTTATATAGTATGGTGTTCTATGAAAATCTTTATAAAGAAGCTCTTTAATTTTTCGTCTGAATGGTTTATAGTCATATATTAATATTATGACATTTATAAAAAATTAATATAATATTTATAAAATAAAGAATAGATAGAATCTAGAATACAGAATAAATATTTATATTTAAATTCAAAGAACTTTTTAATGAAAATTTATAGAAATTTTTATGGAAAACCACTACAACTTGAATTTAAGGAAGAGATATTGAAAGATGGTACAAAATATCTTGTATCTCTAGTATCGAGTATCTAGATTTTCTGCCCCCTTAAGGAAGAGATATACATACATAGATGGTACAAAATAGCTTGTATCTAGTATCTAGAAGTATCTAGAATATTTCTGGTACTTTTACTCAATTTTAAATCTTGAATTTAATTATTTAAAATTTCTAAAAATATATTTATTCAATATTACTTTATAATGGTTACCTATCACCTCCCAAAACCCATAATACTCTCTATAAGTAGGGTATAAATATTATAAAAAACAAAACCCCTCAAAAAAAAAAAAAGAAGTGCTGTCGAATATTTTTGAGCAGCTGTTTTCTCAAGGTGAAAGTGGAATATATTTTTGTTTTGTTTGTCTATTTTTATATGGTATTAGTGATTTTTTTTTTCTAGTGATTTGAAATATTTGACAGTTTTTCTAACTTTGATCTTTTTTTGAAAAATTATTTGGAAGAAGAAGAACACTCACCTCCAGCTCGGCATACTCCTTGTTGAGTTCCTCCCATTCATTTTTCAGGCCATCGATATTCATGTTGATTTTGGTAGATTTTTCTTTTTTAACTTAATATTATTATTTAATAATATTTAATTAATTTTTTTTTTGTTGAACGGCTTTTCTGGCCATCCACGCGCTTTTCTTTTTATTTCTTTTTTTGTTTTTATTGTTTTTGCTTTTTGTTATTGTTATTGTATATGCAACAGCTGTGTGGTGGACGATGAAGAAGAAGAGGCAGCACCAACAGCAGGCGGGCAGGCAGGCGGCGTCAAAAGAAAAAGGGGGGGAAAAACGGTGAGAAAGTGGACAAGAGAGAGTGCAAGAGAGAGAAAGAGAGAGTGTGTTGTGTTGTGTGTATGATTTGTAGGGAGGGAGGGGGGGGGTGGTGGCGCGTTATTTTTTGAGGTTAGAAGGAATCGGGAATAGGACCGGTGAAAAATCAATTAAATAGTTTTAAGCGACTCATTGTTGTTGTTGTTGTTTTTGCAATTCCACAACTTCAATCACACAAACGCAGACTCACAGACACAAACACACACACACACCCACACAAACACACTGCCACGTTCAAAGCAAAAAAAAAAAAAAGTAAAATAACAAACGTAATTTGTTTTTGCACAAAAATACAAAAAAAAAAAAAATAGACAACAGTTTATGGCGCGTTCTTAGTTTTGTTTTTTTTTTTTTTAAATAAATTATTTGTTGAGCAATAGTTGAGGGGGGGATTTTTGTTTTTTGTCTGTTGGTTTGTGTTGTTTTTTTTCTTTGCCTTTATTTTTTTTTTTAATTTTATTTTGTTAGACGAAGCGAGGGCGGCCGCCGCACCGAAACGACAACGTGAACAACAAAAAAGTCAAGAGAAACGACGACGACGGCAGCAGCAACCGACCGCACCGACGACTAATATTTTGTTAATAACTATATCCGTTGCACTTTTGTTTTAAATAACACAAAAAATCGACAAAAAAACAACACAAAAAACAACAGACGACGGACTCTCTATCTCAGCGGCGGTAAACTACGTGCAAAAAAATCTCTGAACCGCCGAGCGAAGAGAGCGCGAGAGTGCCACGCGAAGAGAGAGCGAGCGAGCGAGCGACCACGTTGCGTGAGCGGAGATGTGATAACGCGTATAGGGGGAACTAGTTCCGAAAGAATATATATAAAAAGTTAAAAATTCATTAATTATATTCAAATAATAATTAAAATTTAGTAATAATAATTTTATTTTCTACTTACATTTTTTTCAGAAAACTATAGTGAACAAATACCGTCTCATATCTATATAATCATCTTTGGTGTTGATTGGAACCAAATGAACTGAGAACTTAAGAACCCAACTGCTCAGCTCCAAGGTCATCGAGCAAAATGAACTGGCCGCAAAGTGGTGAGTTTGCCGTTTCAGGTGGTGGGTTTCGCTCAGTCGGTGGTGGTGAGTCTGGTGTTGGGCGCGCAATTCAAATGGTAAGGTTTGTTTTTATTGTTATCTGGTGTTTTTGGTAATAAAATATAATATTTAAATATACACACATGTATATTGATTTGAAGTATATAGACAAGTGTCGGTTATAGAAGTAGATTTGTTACTAAACCGAAAGCATGTTATGTTTTGTTAAAAAATTGAATTTATTTCTTCTGTAAATAATGATTTTCTTATTATTTTTTTTTGTGGGGGCAGCAAAACAATAAACACAATAATAATTATTATAATAAAAAAAAAATTAACTACAGGATGGTCTCCGGCTACTCCTTGCGTCGGGCCCGTAGCCTCAAGGCCAGATAGGCGAATCCTCGGAAGCCCACAATCAGTATGGCCAAGCCGATATAGTCCAGCGGCAGATCGGCGGCCGAAAAGTTCAACGTCTCCAGGATAACCTTCCCCGAGCTGGGACACGTGGTGTTTGAGGATGTGCAGGATATCTCGCCTGCCTCTACGTCCGCCCACTGATTGATGAGGAGTCCCTCGTTGGCGTAACGGAACCATGAGAGGTAAGACAACCATTTCAGGTACACCGGCACCGAACCCGAATTCAGGAAGAATCCACCAAATAGCAGGAAGGGTATAATAACAGGTGGACCCACTGACAGGGCCATCGATGTCGAGGAGCTGGCACAGGATATCAAGTAGCCGAAGGACGTGGAGACATTGGCCACCAGGGTGACGAGGGCCAAGCAGTTGAAGAAGTGCAGGACACCGGCCCGGAGGCCAATCATCGGATAGGCAATGGCCGTGAAAACGAGCGGTACGGTAAGGAATAGCGGCAGTTCGGCGATGGTCTTGCCCAGGAAGTAGGTATCGCAGCGATAAAGGCGACTCCTGGCCTCCCTCATAAAGACCGGAAGTTCCGAGGTGAAAACCTACAAAATAAAACTAATTAGTTTATTTTTTTTTTAAATTAGTATAGATTTGTATCTTACATTAATGGTGGCAAAGACATTCTGGAAGGTCATGTTTGTCAGAAAGAGGAATATGGCTCCATTGATGTTCATCACGCCCACCTGCGTCAGTTGTTGGCCCAAAAAAATTAGGCCAATTAAAATGGCCACCATCTGGAAATGGGTAAGAATAATAAACGAATGGGAAGGATACTTGGTTTTAAAAAAATAGGTATTTTTTTTCAAATTATAAGCAAGCTTTATTAATTGCATTTCAAAATTATACAAAGAAGAGCCAAACTAAAGAATAAATATTAAAATAAATAAACTAAGATATAAAAAAAGCTCAAAAAAAAAGGTAAACCTTTTTTTAAAATTCGAAATATCCTTAAGACCTAATCTCTTTCTTCGCGGCAACAACAACTCACCGTTGTCTGAATGAGTCGCACTTTGACCAGCAATGGCTCCTTTAATACCGACAGCCATGACCTCCAAAGCACCGCCCGAAACTGCATAAACCAGGTTGCCTTGTAGGTATATCCATTTTCACGTTGCTCCAATGGTTGCGTCAAATTCTTGGTGGCCAACAGCTGCTCCATATCCCGGGCCACTTTACTAATGGCGAAATTGTCACAGATCTTGGCAATCCTGTCACGGGATTCTATTTCACGGCCCGGCACTACCGCCAGAACTTGAACATAAAAATCAGCCGGATTGTAGTTGGTCGGACATTGGGCGCCGACGCTAATTAGAGAAGAAAGAGGAAATTTTATAGAGAAGAATTAGAGATAGAAATATAATCCACGGGCCTTCTCCGTGTTTCCGTTAAAATGTTGCTTTTATAAATTACTACCATATCATAAAAGCTAATAACCTTCAAGTTTTTTTTTTTAAGATTTGTTTAAACACTACCTAGGAAAAATGTATATTTTAAATATATAGAGTATAATATTTTATATAGAGTCTATAGAGCCTTTTCCATTTGTCCGTGTGTCCGTTTGTCCGCTTAAATGATATTTTTTTTAATTATTCTTCTACTTTAAAAGCTAAAATAAGCTCTAACTTTGTATGAAGATTTATATTAATGAAGCCCACGGCTCCTTAAATTAAAAAGTTGCAGAAATATAATGTTTAGGGCCTTGTCCGTGTGTCCGTCTGTCCGCTAAATTGTATTTTATGAGAATAGCTCCCATGTTTTAAAAACTTTCCATCCCAAACCTTGCTCACACACCTATATTAACATTACCCACTTCATACTAACTAGAAAAACGATTAAAATAGAATAAAAATGGTCTTATTAGCCTTGTCCGTGTGTCCGCCTGTCCGCCAAAATCTTTTAAATACAGATAACTCCCTCCCCTGTAAAGCTACATCTTCCAAACTTTTCTCAAAAATTAATTTTAATAAAACCCCCCTACTTACTAGGAGAAAAAGTCCACCGCTTCACTGGGTGTCCCCAAAAAGGCCACCCTGCCCTCGGCCATTAGAAGGATTTTGTCAAAGAGCTCGAACAGCTCGGAGGAGGGCTGATGGATCGTCAGAATGACCGTCTTGCCCTTCTGGGAGAGTTTCTTCAGCACCTGGACGACACTGTGGGCGGTGAAGGAGTCCAGGCCGGAGGTGGGTTCGTCGCAGATCAGCAATGGTGGATCGGTGAGAGCCTCCGAGGCGAAGGCCAGTCGCTTCCGCTCCCCACCCGACAGACCTTTGACCCGGCCCGGCACTCCGATGATCGTGTGCTGGCACTTGCTCAGCGACAGCTCCTGAATCACCTGGTCGACGCGGGCCACACGCTGGCGGTAACTCAAGTGCCGGGGCATACGCACCATGGCCTGAAAGATCAAGTGCTCCCGGGCCGTCAAAGAGCCAATGAAGAGGTCATCTTGCTGGACATAGGCGCACCTGGCCTGCATCTCTTTGGCATCCACGGGCTGGCCGTTCAACAATCTCATTCCGGATGGCGAGACCTGGATGCCCTGCGGCGAGCGGAAGGCCAAGGCATTCAAGAGGGTCGTCTTTCCGGCACCAGAACTGCCCATTACGGCCAACAGTTCACCCGGATAGGCCACGCCGCAAACTAAAAAAAAGAATGGGTAGAAAAAAGGATAAACTTTGAAATTATAAAGTAAAATATTAATACCCGGTACTTGAGGCTAAGAATTATAATATTATACCTCAAGTATCGACTATTAATATTTCAAATATTTTTATTTTATTTTTCTAATCACGTACCATTTTTCAGCAAGTGCTTTCTGGGCGCTGGAATGTGTCGCTCGTTGCAGAACAAGCCACGTGTTCGATTCACCAACTGACGCCATCCGGATCCGGGCTGGTTTACGGCTCCAAAAATATCCAAATTATGCCAGGCATAGGTCAAGTTCTCGGCCAGTTGGCCGTCGACGGTGCCGGATCCGGAGCCGTCTGGCGGACTTGGCGGCCGGAGAGTGCCGTAGTTCTTCGTCTGGCCAAAGCCCTGATTAATGCAACTCTGTGATGTGGCGCCACCATCAGCCTAGATTGAAAGGATAATATATAAACATAAAGTATCTTTATAAAAGGAGCAAAAAAAAACGAAGCGAGAAAATTCTAAAAATTATTTTATCAAAAAAGAAAAAGGATTGGGGTAAGTCTGTTTTTTAAATAATTTTTAAATATATTTTAAATATTCATTTGGGCAAGACAAAGTGAAAAGTTTTGTATATTATTTTAAAAACAAAAGGAAGAATTATTTTCCTAAAAAAGTTAAAATTTAATTCAAGAAACCTAAGATAAATTTTGAATTATTGATTAGTTTACAACTTTTAAGTTTAAAAAACAATATTTTGTTCAAGGCTGATATTCCTTAAAAAGCTTTCTAGCTTCTAAATTGAATTAATATTTTTCGAACGTTATATTTAATAATTTTAGAATTATATACAATTTCTTAAATATTTTTAAATGCTAAAAAGCAACATACTTAAAATAAATCAAGAATAAACTAACTAATATTCTAACAAATAAACAAACTAACTAAATAAAAACCAAAACTTACTAAAAAAAAAATGTTTTTATGAACATAAATATTTCTAAAGATATTTCTGTCTTTTTAAAACTACAAAATATTTAAGAAATTGTAAATACTGAAAGATTTTTTAAGAAGAAATGATATTGAAAGGAATATCATCTTTTTAATATCTGCCTTGAAATAATATTGTTTATTGAAAATATTTAAAAAATTAAACAAAAAATTGTTTTTCAAAAGCCCTAAATAATATTAAAACTCTAAAATATTTACTCCCTTTATTTTTCCATCACCATCTTTGATTTAAACTTTTCTCTAAGTGTAATCTTAAAAAGGTTTGCCAACCAAAAACTTTTCAATTTCACGGCGTTCGTCCATAAAAATGAAGGCGTTTATGCATAAATCTTGGCTAGCCCGGCTAATCCCTAAGCCCCCCGCCTCTTTTTTAGTAAAAGACCCCCTTTCAATGGACGTCTCTGTCCTTTTATTTTGTAAATTTTTGAAAGGCCAGCATCCCATCTGTTTAATAAAAGAAAGCGAAGAAACAAAAAAAAAGAAAATCCCGGGGAAAGCGAGGCCTATTTAAAATGTGCAAATTAGGGCAGGCCATAAGCCACAGCCGGCTGGGTGGCCTTGAAAAAAAACGGGGGAGGACGGGGTTTTAAGGAGGGTTTTTTGGGAGTGTTGCAAGGGGTGGAGGTCACGGCTCACCATGTTGCCACTTCATAAGACAATTGCGAGTGTAAATCGCCGGCATCTTCGGCTTTCACTTGCGGGGGACTTTGATCCCCGTCAGCTTTGTTTTTATTAAATATAAAACTTAAAGGACACTGCGCCAAGCACTTGGACATAAATGAGGGCACTTGCAAGAATTTTTAGGTTTTTTTAGGAAAATATATTTTAGAAATTTTCATTTGGTTAAAAACTCTGTTTTTTTATACCTTTGATAGTAAATATTTCAGTTATTTCTAAACAGATTTGGGAATGAAATACCATTTTCGAATCAGGGCTTTAGGGTCTTTCGTTTTGTCGTCAGAGCTTAGGAAAAAAAATTTTCAAAAATTTTGTAAGGGGTGCCCTCATCATTTTGTTCAAAAATTTGACGAAATTTTTTTTGTTTGCATTTCTTGAAATTTTAATGCATTTTCAACGGGATTGAAACACTGGTAAATTAATGGTATTCCGTTGTAAAATCGGTTGGAAAATAGTCAAGAAATTCATAAAAAGGTGAATAAAAATTAAGAAAAATTGAATCCTAAAAATTAAAAAAACAAAATAATACAATTTTTAATCATTTAATAGTGAATAGCTTAGTCATTACTTAACCGATTTGGAAACGGAATACCATTTATGAATCAGGATTCTAATCTTCTTCGTTCTCAACTAAAAGTTTAAAAAAATCAAACAAAAAAAATTTGACTCAATTTTCGAAAATTTTGTAAGACAAAATAATCATTTTGTCATGATTTTTTTCAAAAATTTGGAGCATTTTTTTTTGTTTGAATTTCTTGATATTTAAATGCAGATCGATGGGGACTGTAACTCTGATTAATTAGTGGTACTCCGTTTTCAAATCGGTTGAAAAATAGTGAAGAAATTCATAAAAAGGTGAATAAAAATTAGGAAAACTCAGAAATAAAATAACAAAACTAAAATTAATTTTTTTGATTCATTTAATAGCGAATATCTCAGGCATTACTTAACCGATTTGGAAACGAAATACCATTTATGAATCTGGATTCTAATCTACTTCACTCGTAATTAAAAATTTCGGACAAAAAAATAAAAAAAATTTTGCTAAATTTTCAAAAATTTTGTAAGGGGTACCCTCATGATTTTTTTCAAAAATTAAGCGAAATTTTTGTTGTTTGAATTTCTTTATATTTGAATGCAGATCGGCGGGGATTGAAACTCTGATTAATTAGTGGTACTCCGTTTCAAATCGGTTGGGGAATAATAAAGATATTCACAATAAAGCATTGAAAAATACTGCAAAAATTCAAATAAAAACAATACCAAAAACCATCCTTTAATTTTTTTTATTTTATTTCTGAAAAATGTGCATAAATCAGCTTATATTTGGCATATTTTGAAATGTTATACCTTTCCTATATCAGAACTCTCAGAACTATCTTATTCTTTCAAAATAAGGCAACAAAAATTAAACTTTTTGCCCTTTTATTATGGGAGGATATCATGTTTTTTTATTGAAAAAATAAAGAACTTTTTTCCCTTCTTACCAGAGAAAAGATTTTCCCTTTTAAAATTATTAAAAATATTCATTATAAATTTTTCTTTGTGCATTTTATGAATGAGTTAACCGAAATCCCCCTTTTCGAGTAGTTTCGAGTGCCATGAATATTTAATGGCAAAAAGTGGTGACCAAATTGGAGTCATTCACTCAATTTAAAAGACGTATACTTTCAATGATGGAAAATGAAATTCCATGACCTGGATATTCGATTTAAAATGTGAAAGGATTCAAAAAGGGTAAAACGAGTAAACAAAAAATAAAGAAAATATTTAAATAAAAATAGTAAACAGGTTGAAACAATTTTTAACTTAAAGTCTTAAAACTCTTAAGGTTAGAGGTGACTAAGTCGGACTAGTGATTTCCAAACCCGTTCAGCTGTCAGTTTATGTCGTGGTGGGGCTTCCCTTTCAAAAAGCCGGTAACCGAAGACGTTTGTGGTATGGTCAGATTGCTCCGCCGCCCCCTCTATACCCCACTCCACTTCCGCTCCAAATCAGCCCCCACCCAAACCAACCACATCCCCCCCCCTTAACCACCATCATCGTCCACCCGCATATTTTCATTTTCATAAACAATTTTCTGTTTTTCCATTTGTGGGGTTTCTTACCATCCTACAGCCCAGTAAGGGCCTAAGGGGCCCAAAGCATAAATAACAGGGATCCGCTAATTGGCGTCCAGGCACAAAAAAAAAATAAATGATAATAAATATATATATATATATATAAAGGAGATATATATATATATCTCAAGAGAGACTAACATAATGATGATCACAATATGGAAAAGCATTATAACCACCGCAATGGTGGTCGGTCGGCTCGCGTAATAATTTGTATAAATAATCATAAAAAATTAAGCAAGCCACGAGGAATAAAAAGCGAAAGAAGCGAAAATCCAAAGAAGGAGATTCAAATAAAAGCTGACATTCAATATTCGCAAGAGGAAAATATCAAGGAATAATGTCCACCTTGCACTCAACGCTGTCCGCTTTCGAATCCTGTGAAGGTTTGATTGCGAAATACAGTAGAGACTCCATAGATTAAATGATTATTAATTGAAAATATTAGTTTTTCAAAGAAAAGCTTATTTTCGTTAAGCTGTTTAAGGTTTTAAATAGGGAAAGATCCTTAAGAATTTTGAAAACTCTAATATTTTAAAGAAATATCACCGATTTGTATTATCTTTTTAAAATATTCAAGTTTTAAAAACGCTGATAAATTTTAAATTCTAGTCAGCTATTCTAGTTTTTATTTAGAATCTTTTTTTTTTTTTTAATTTTTTAATTCAATTAGAGTTTTAAAAAAACTACATTTTGGAAGACAAGTTTTTGAAAAAACTAGGAAAACTTTTAGAAAAACTTGAAAAAATTCACGGAAACTCAAAAAAAAACTAGAAAAAAAATATAAAATGTACTCCCTAGGACTCGAACTTCATTGAAAACCACCAAAAAATCCCCTTTAGACAGTCTCCACTGTACTTTTTCTGCTGCGATGCTTTCGCTACTTATTTTTCTAGACATTCAGTGTCCAGTTTTTGTGGGCCTGACTTTTGCTGAGCAGAAGGAGAAATAAAAAAAAAAATTAAATAAATTTTCACGATGTCGAGAGGTAGACGCGAAAAAATTTAATATCCGTTACAGCCACTTTGGGGGGGAGTGAGACAGATAGAGGGGGCGCAAAAGAGATGGGGCTACTCTCAGACCTGGCAAAAATTGTTTTCACAACAAATGAGGCCGAAAAATGTTATTAAAAAGTTTCCTTTTCTTTCTGTTTCGTTTTTCTTCAATTTTTTTTTTCTCCACTCCTTCCACTCTTACTTATTTTTCTTATGCCTCTATTGCCGTCTCTTTCGAACGAAAGTCTTATCTTTCGGTTTATACTCTTCTTATTTATTTATTTATTTTCGTTTTTTTTTTGTCAGCATAAGATGCTACATTTCATATTTATTTAATTTTTTCACTTACTTTTTACTTTGCGTGCTATTTTTGAATTACTTAAAAGAAGAAATTCGTTCGGGGGAGTAGGAGAAAGAGAAAGCACTATGGCTGTAGAGAAAGAGACGGGTGAAGTTGATTTTGGTACGCCAGATGGCGCTTTATAAGCAGCAGACGGAACAGAAATGTTTTTTGATGAACTTGACAAATTGAAATGACTGAATGAAGGAGCGACTCAATTTGTTTTGTTTCTTATACATATTTTTTGTATTCATTTTTTTTTTTGTGAATTGCACGAGTGGCTAATGAGTACACTCAAAAGTCATTCACTTTGATGAGAAGAAAACAAAGAAGGAGATCGAATTATTCAGAAAGGAAATGTTTGTCATTTTCTAAATTAATTGGCAGCAATTATAGAAAAGGGAAATTATGGTAATGGCGAGTCTTTAAAGAAGGAAATTAAATGAAAAGATTTAATATTTTTAACTTTGAAATATCATTAAAGACTTGTGTCAGACCTTTCTCTTCCTATCTTAAGATAAACTTTATCTCAGGGTAAAGAGAGAGATTATTTGATGAGACCCTTCTCAACCAAAGACATTTTATTTTATTTGTTGGACAAGCCGAGAGGTGCCAACTATTTTGACATGAGTTTACAAAGTTACAAAAAGATACACTGGCAAATAGAAGATACTCAGATGCTCAGAGACAAGTAAGCAAATATGGGGGTATATACGATATCAGAGGCTGAACCTGAAGCACGGGTCTAGTCAAATAATGACCCAGATAAGGCGAGATTGTACAACGGTTGAGACGCAAAAAGATCAGACCCAAAGATCATACAAGCGTTGATGCAGCTAAAGATATCTTACAGATACTGTATCTGGTGTCAAGCATCTCTGTTATAGTTATAGACACCCCACAATGTTGTTGGCCAACTTAAGCTCATAATCCCATGCTATTCTTTAGTTTGGTTATGCCTCAGTGGGGTTCTTCAAAAGATTTGGTTTAAAGAATCTATGTTGTTTTTCTTTTTGGAGTGAGAATTGGGCTCTTGAGTTTAAAAAAGGTAATCTTATTTTTTTTTTTTAGGATTTTATTTAGTATTTTTCTTTCTTCAATTTTTTTTTAGCCACTACTTATGAGAAGCTAGGGGAACGGCTCTATATTTTTATTATTATTATTTTTTTTAGTTCTTATTCTTTAAATACCAAAATAAATACAATAAATTTTTACTTTACTTTCTTTTTATAAAAAAAAACATCCAAGTCTACTATAATTTCTATCAAAACTCCTAGAATATTGTATTTATTTTTGGTTTCTACTATAAAAATACTAAAAAAAATAGGAAAGATTCTAGAAAAATTGGATTTATTTATTAATTTTAGTTAGTATTTTTCTTTCTTCAGTTTTTTTTAGCTACTTCCTATGAGAGGCTAGGAGAAGGGCTCTATTTATTATTTAGTTTTTTTTTAAACCTTCTTTCTAAAGGTCAGTAGAAGTCTAATTCTAAATCTTTCAACACCGAAATAAATATAAATTAAAAAAAAAAACCCTATTCTCTATAATTTCTATAAAACTCCTAAAATATTATATTTATTTTTAGTTTCTTTTATTTATTTACGCAATTTGCGGTTAAAAAATCTTTGCGGGCCTTTGCGTTCTCACGCTGTAGACTCTAGTATGTTGTCTCGTATTCGTATTTCCGATGTTGCAATACCTTCAGTCTTTATTCCGATTCCGATATCCGATCCGATAGGTAATAATACTCACATTATTCAGATGCTCGGCGGAGGTGTGTTTACTGCCACCGCGTATCAACAGTTCCTGATCCTCTTGGCCCATTTGCCTGGCAAGTTTTGTATATTTTTTCCTTGGATTTCCTTGTTGATTTCCGCCGCCACTCCCCGCGAAACAATCACTCGAAAAAAAATCGTAGTAGTGGTAATTGTTTGGGACACTTGATGGCGTTTTTTTTCTCTTCTTTTTATTTTATTTGACTTGAAAACGGTTTTAATTGATTGAAGTTTTAAACCGCTTGGAGCTTCGTCACGAAACCGCTGACAAAATGCAACTGAAGGCGGACATTGACGCTAGGTGAGTGAGGAGCACAACGACCAGAAAGAGATGGTTGATAGACGACTGAAAGAGAAGGGACGACCGGCTGAGCTGATGAGTGGAATGACATTTTGAGTGAGAGATAATACCTGGGGAGTCTTATTTTCGGAGGGGGTTTGGGTTCTACAAATACCTTATATAGACTTTAAAGAGATTTAATTAATTTAAAAAAAAATGTTAAAAATTATATACAGAATATTTTAGGATTTTTAGAAGGTGGGGAGAAGAATGAGGAAGATTTAGGACTTAGGAGGAGCTTGAAATTATGAATGAGAAGAAATATATTAAAATTTAAAATAAGAGAAGTATTTACATGAAAAAGAATATATTAAATACCATTTAAATACCTAATATTTTCTATTTGTTTAATATTTTCTATTAAATATTTATTTTAACTTAATACTTAATCTATTATAATATTATATTTTATTTATTTTAAACCTCCTCCCCCTCGAGAGTATCAAAGGTTGAGTGATTTCTATTTGAATTCTGATTAGGTTGAAGAGAAAGCATTAGCTTATCGCTTTCCATTCAGCTTCTGGATCTGTCTAGGTCTTGATTCTATACAAATATATGTCTTCTTTTGGGAGTGTTCACTGTACTTGGCTGGTATGATTTATCAAAAAAAAGAGTGGCGATGCGAAACATCATCAGAAACTCTGAAGCTCTGCGACAATCTGAACAAAGCTGGAGGGGCGTCCAGATCCAGACAGTTGTGTCGTCATCGTTAGCACCTCCCCTCCTCACCACCTCACCTCGTCATCTCGTCATTTCATCATTTGGTATTCCCGTAGTCCTCCTGGTAGTGCTGGTATTCCCTGGCATTCCAGACATTATCAATCTTCATCATCGCCGCGCAAAAGGTCCACAGGTGGCAGAGGACACGGCCTCGACCCTCGACCCTTCTGAAAAAGGGCAGGAGGTTTGGGGGGTTCTGGCAGCTTGTAGCGCTTAAGCAGCCCTGTCAATTGCACTTTCATGGATAATCGGGGTTACGTTGGGTGGGTATGGGTATCGGGCTTAATTTGATTTAACCCTCTCTCCCTACAATTATACGGCCATTCAAGTGCCAATAAAATTAATTGTGACTTGATGGTCTTCTTGAAAATCTTTAAAATATTTTTAAATAAAATACAAAATATAACAAGATTCAGTTCTTTAGATTCCTCTCACTCTTTCGCCCAAACCCTAAAACAAAGTTGGCATTTTGTGCAAAAGTTGTGAGACATTTCCATTGTGGGTTTCGTTTTCACAACCGATCGACGTGCCAGACAACAAAGCCCCGCCAATGTCTCACTCGTTTTCCAACTCAACTTGAGGTTTTTCTTTCAGTGACACTTTTGGGGCTTCGCCCTGGGGTCTCTGATAATGCAACGAGTGCGAGTGAAGCTTAAAGCGGGTTTTGTTAAGAAATACAAATGTGCTTGAAATAATAGTTTAAAAATTAATTCAAAAATAATATTTGTTTTTATTATTTATAAAAGATATAAAAATAAACCCCTTTATTTTTCAAACCTTACTCTTTTAAACCTTACTAGGTCTATTATTCTGACCAACATTGCATATCCATCTGGTACCTTTCCTGCCACACTTTATTTGTGTGTGTTGCCATCATTTACTCACTCAAATGTTATAAACTTTTTGCACTTAACAATTTATTGTCACTCGGTTGTCGCTGCTGTTGCAACTTTCCGTTGCACCACAAAAAAAAAAAATGTGAAAAAAAAATTGAGAGCAAAAAAAAATGCGGCTTAAAACCGATTATAGAATGCCCTTAATGTACTTGGGGGGATTAACTAATTTCCGCTTAATACGCACTCTAAATCAATCATTTTAATTACAAAATGCAATTAATGGGAAAGAATTGATAAAATATATATTGCATTTTGTAGTTTTTTTGTGGTTTTATTGAAAGAAATAGTTTTGTGATTTATTTTAGTTTTGATGGTATGTAATAAATGGTTTATGATTTTAGAGAAGGGGTTTTTTTTATAATTGTAGGTTTCTAAGGCCCTGGGGATATTATAACGAAAAACCTTAACTTTTTTAGATTAGAATCATTGAGCTTCTAATGGTAAAACATGTTTAAACAAGTTTTAAACCTGATAGATAACCTAAAAAAAAAAATTAAAAATAAGAAAAATTGAGTTTTTATGATTTATTTTATAAAGTTTTGATGGTAATTAATTAGATAGGGCTTTTAAGGGACTGGGGGCCTATTTTATAACGAAAAACCTTAACTTTTATAGGTTAGAATCATTGAGCTTCTAATGGTGAAACATTTTGTAAACCTATTAGATAACCTCTAAAAAAATAAAAGATGGAAAAACTAAGCAAAATTCCAACCTCTTAGAACCATTAATACCCTTTCTAAAAAAAAAACAAGAAAGAGTAGTGAAAGTAACTCGAGCAAAACTGTATAAAGTTTTTGTTTTTTTTTTTCTCAAACACGCTTTTAGACTCTCTCCCAAAGACACACACACAGACACAAACACCCCACACCCACACCCACACACACTCAGGTAAATCCATGGCCATTGACATAGGAACTTGGAACATGAATGGGAGGATGGGAGGAGGGGGGTGTGGCTTAACCCCCTGGCTTCATTCGTTTAACCCATGCAAATTATTGACGCGGACAGCGGGCTCAATAAATCTGTATGTATGTGTGTGTTCCTGGGTGTATGTGTTAAAGTGGAGAAACTTTTGCTGGCTGAACGCTAATCAGACAGCTTTCTAGTTCATTGCTTTGCCCCAATGCCACGCCCCCCATTGGCCACCGCTGCCTCCCACTTTCATCTGAGGCACTCAGTTGCCTGTAATTGCAAAGTAAATCAGCGCTGCCATTTGCCATGCCCCGAAAAGTATGCTCCTGTGGAAAATCTTAAGGCTGAAGAAATCGGAGAAGGAGCTGGTCCTTGCTGGTAGAACTGGATGGAGGCTAGGCAAGTGGCTAGGAGTTACTAGAGGGTGTTGCTTGGATAATGCAAGAGAGGGCCGGTGGCAAAGTTTCAGCAACTTTTAAAGAGAGGAATGTGTTATGGGTTCGGGTCACATAGTTAGTTAGTCCCACAACTTCAAACCAAATGACTGCTTCAAGTTATCCTTGTGTAGGTACCAGAGGGAGAGCGAGCGAACGAGTTAAACGTTTGTCAGCCTTCCCAGGACGAGATTTATGTGGTGAGATGTGTTCTTTTTTATTTTTTTTTTTTGGCCAAAAATATCCTAAAAAGTTTCTACAGATTTTTCGAGGTTTCATTCATTGGTTTCAAATTAGCTTTAGATCTCTGATGGGTAATTCTTTTTACATTTTTTTAACTCGAAGGCGGGGAAAAAGCTGCTTTTGGTTTTTTTTTTTATATTTATCCTGTTTTTTATGTTGCTATTGTTTGAATGTTTTTGAATAATTTTTTATGAAAAGGCTTTAATGAAAAAAGAATTTATGTTGCATTTCTGTTGTTCTAGTATTTTTTGGGTATTTTAAAATGTGGTTTAAAGTCAGAAAGGTTATGAAAGATATGAAAGATTCTTAAAATTTATTATAATTGTAGTTTTGAGGGAAAAAATTAATATTTTTTATATTGTTGAATGCAAGACACCCCAGTCAGACATTTTTTTCAAATTCCTTAATTTTTTTTTAAGAAAATTATCCTAAGGACTCTTAAGGAAAAAAAATACTGGTTAGTTTACTAGTTTTTCTTTTAAAGATTTTTTCTAATTTTTTTTTTATGAAAGCATACTAGCTTTTATCACTTTCAGTTTACTTCATCATAGATTTTTTTCTTTTTATTAAAAAAGTATATCTGTAATTTTATTTAGAAAAAATACTAGTTTTCGTCACTGGTAGCTAACTTTGTGAAAGATTTTCTTTCTAGATATTTATGTAATTTATTTTATTTATTTTAAAATGTTCTTTAAACTATTTAATAATTTTAGGGCACTTTTAAAATTTATTTTCCATTTTTATTGTATTATTCAAGTGTTTCTATTTTTTTTGTATTCTCCCGCCGGTTTCATTTCCGTTTCCTTTTTCTATTAGAGACCAGAGGAAGAGGCTCAGCCGAGTGATAGGGCAGACATTGTTGACTAGAAGGGCGGAGGATTAGGGATTAAGGCTAGAAAGAGGAGAAAGAGGCAGGAGAAGACGTATAGACCAGGCCTATATAGTAAGCGGAAGTCGCCATCGCTTACAGCACGCGCGCGTCTCATAAAAACGTATCAAAACATCCGCTGGGAGTCGTAAAAATTTTGCACTCTGACTTGGTTTTCCGTCTGCCGCCACACCAACCCCCTTTAACTTGCCACAGACTCACTGTGTACTGAGTGGCGCCCCTCCGATGCAGTTGAAGCTCAAGCTCTAGCTAACTTTTCCTAACCGGGACCGGGACCGAGACCGGGTCCTACCCGGCGTATGTGTAATCTAATAAAATTTGCTGTTTATGTGGCAACAGGCTCGACTTCTCTTGTCTATCTCCCTCTTCAATTTTTTTTTGCCTCTAACTAGCCATCTTAACCCCTTTGGCCCATAATTCTTGGCCAACTTTTCCCTAGCATTTTCTTTTATTTTTTCCACTCTCGTCTGTGCAACAGTTGCGCTGCTTTATGGCACCACGGTCGAGAGGAGTTGGCGCGAATGCCAGTTAACTGCAACTGATGTATGCTGGTGGGAGGGTATCCGGACAAGGAATGTCTGGGATTTTAGCCTAAAATTAAAGTGTAAATTATTTAGGCTTTAATGAAGGTTTCAAAGTATCAAAAGAAAGAAACTGAAATATACTGAAATATTTATTTTGACATCGACAGAGAGATGGGGGAATTTGTATTTTAAGCGGCTTGCGCCTTAAATGCAATTATCGCTTAACAAGCACACAAGCTAAAAAGAAAATAATAAAAAATAAAACCGAGCCTGGAATGGACAAGCAAACTCATAAATACATAAATATGCATATTTGGCCATGGCTTGGGCTT